AGATATACTGGTCATTGACTTACTCAAAGATGTAATGTAGTGAGGTGCTAAGAAAAGAATGATTTCTTCTGTTACATTTTAGAGACAATTAGTGCCATGCGTTGGTGGACATCCTTGATCTGGTATAACTTGGTGCATCATCTGCCGAAAAGGGCATAATACAGTAGAACAGTTTGGCATTGTCCACAGATACCGGAATGAATACATAATCTTTTCAGTTTTCTAGAGGGCTGCTAGCAGGAAACAGGCTTACGTCACCTACAGAGCCAGTGAGTTCGGTTAGAGCTTGGTTTAGATCCTGTTAGCAAAGAATGTGCATATAAAGCATCAAATACAACGGCATCCGTGCTGCTAATGCTCAACTCCTTTCGCAACATATGGCGTAGACTTTTGTCTGCATATATGTACGTTTCCTCAACCGAATGACGTTCTAACATTGCCATACAGTCACTGGCTGCCGACAAAATTATTACCATTGAGTAACGAAAAGGTTCCCTTCTTGTTCAGGGAAGTGCTCCACCTACGCTAGCGGTTGTTCCACAGCTAAATGAAGCAGAGCTCCTGACAATGGATCGATGGTAGGTAGGTTCACGTCGCATTCAAAGAAGATAAGAAACGTTTTTGGAGATTCCATACAGAACATGCAAAAAGAACAAAACGAACTTTCTCCATCACAATAGCAAGGGGAGCTCTGCGGACTAAGAACCTGTCGTCGAAAGTAATTCTTGACGATTCATAGTTTTCTTTAGTTTTATGAGTAGCCATAGTCAAGACCAACGCGATATTAAGAGTCTCGTACGAAGTGAAAGCAACGAAAGCAGTTGAAGCCTTAATACTTGTGTATAATCGGGAAAGTTCAAAATCAGAGTAATAATCCTGCATGCTTTATTTTCAAAGTAAAATTCCAGGCTACTATTTCATCCAATAAAACTCTTAGGATAGGGCGAATTCCCTGAAGCTTCCTCTTCAACTTATCTGAGCAATTCTTAGATATTATGTTGATGGCTAAGGGGATCATTCGGTCCATATGTGCGATTGAACTTGCTGTCATCACTGTGGCTGGAAATACGCTACTGGATTGTACGGTAGATTCGAAGGACGTCGTCGACAAGAAGGCGTAGCTTATGAAGCGAAGTCTGTAGTGTGACTTTGAAAGCAGGATGGGTGTACAATTCGAGTTCGGCGCAAGACAGGCTTTCACTACTCTTCATAGAAGGTGATCTGCTCCGATTATTACTATCATGAAAAAGAAGAAGGTTTTCGAAAGAACTGGAGAATGGAGAGACATGGGATGGTAAGGGAAATCCTACATAATTGAACTTTCGTCTCGCGTATTCTGTTTGTTTACTTATTAGTGTCGGATGGATGATCGGATGATCGTTAAACAAAAATAGGAAACAAAGCAATCTGTAAGCTACGGACAGAGGGGTAGAACAATCCGCACAGCGTCACGCCATTTCAGAGGAAGTCAGATTTCCATGGTCTCCACTTTATCATCGCCTCCTTGGGATGGAACAAAAGTTTATCACGTGCGCTAGAGCTCAGGGCATTTCTTCCCTAGCAGTCCCACTACTTCCTTTGCACGAGTCCCTAGTATCACAGACGCCGTTTTTTTCAGTTGGACGACGTTCATCTCCATGACCGTTTGTACGCCATTATTTCGAACCCTGCCCTGGCCACCCCAACATCATCAATCCAGCAGAGGTAAGTGGCCTTGCAAGGCTGTCTCATGGGGATTGGCATAGTTCAATACAGATACACGAATGAATTCCCTCCGTTTCATCCAAACCCTTTGGTTGGAGTCTCTTCCACACTACTGTCTGTTGCTTGACCGCTCCGTTCAAATCAGCACGCTAACCGTGATTCATTAAACCGGATTCACCGTTGCCCTTATACTTACTAGTACCTTTTTTCAGCCTGTCCCTGAAGTCTTCCGAACTATCCGCTTTTAGGGAGACGTAGTCAGCGCAGAAGATGATCTTCACTTCTTCGGTGTGTTACTCCAGTATGATGAACGGTTGGTCGGCTTTCACTACTCAAGAAGATTACGTTTCGATTTTCTCAATCAAAGGGCTAGCGATGGCATTGACGGTGGACTATCGGGCACAAATTGAAACAGCATTCGTGCCCCTAATCACTAGCTCAAGTGGTATGCGCTGTCGGTTGGTCCCTCAGTTGCTTTTAGTTTTATTTATCCTCCGTCTCTGTGGAGCCGACAATGATAGCTAGCTCCCTCATTTTTCCTTCATCACTATTTCCGCATATATGGCCTTACCGCGCAGATTAACCTTATCCGATGCTCTCGTAGCGATTCCCATTCCAAACTCCTCCCCTTCATGTGTGGCCAGTTCCTCTGTAGAGTTGTCAGAAAGTTTACAAAAGGGACAAAAGGGATGGTTCCATCTCCTTTCACCTGATCTCATTTTCCGAAATGACATGCTGCTCTTTCCGATCTTCACTACATTGATGTCTTGAGTACCCCGATGTGGCCTTTATCCAGAAGGAAAAATTTCTTCGCGCACCATAGGACGACTTTCACTATGTACACTAGCCTAGGTTGCTGCATCGGCTTTCGAGCCATACATCGGTTCCCGACTTCTCTGCAATGTCTTTCCCAAATTTATTTATTTTTTATTTGTATGGAACTGTTGAAAACAACAACTTGTAAAAGGTTGCAGCTTCTTTTTCCGATTTGCCGAGCTAATTGTATTTTTCCTGGGTTACAGGTTAAGTTAGAGGTCTAGGACAATACTTACCATAAAAGGCTCTAGCTGAAAGTAATCAGCCCCAATAACATTATGCTGTTTGCGCTTCAGAAAGGATTCCTTCTTACAATTATATAACACCTAACTCTCAGGTTGCCTTTCTCTACAAATCGTCCTTAGAGGAAAGTTCCTGCTGCAGACCATTAAGTGGTGGGCTGTCGTCAGGTCAAAGACCCATTCTTTCTCAGCGTTACTCACCCCACCCACTCACCTTCTTGGATTCCTTCCAGACTTTTNTTTTCTTTTTTCTCTTTTTTCTTTTGGACAACTCCACCGGTCACTTGACACCTGTCACCTGTCGTCCCGTTGGTCATCGATTTCCTTGAGCAAATAACGTTCCCATTCGTCCCTGTCGCGAGCAAGAGTAGTCCAGTGGACCGTACTCACGGGACGACGCATTTCTTCCGTTCAGAGCTTCCGTGAGAAAGTCTGACCGTCGCGCTGGCGACTTCGTAGTCGTTTGAGGTCCGAGAGAGCCAGTCAGGGGCCCCCCGGTTTGACGGTCATCACTATATCGCATAAATTGGCACCGTGTACCTAACCGATTCTCATGAATATCGCCTTCGTTAGGTTCAGTCGTAAGTCGACCTTTCCACAAGCACTGCCAAACTCGGCCAGTATTTGTTCCCCCTTTTCGATGTTAGGTGTTATAAGCACAGTGTCTTCTGCAAAGCGGAGATGATGTTTAATAAGTAGCGGCCGTCTACCTTCGCTCCCATGCTTTCCCATTCCATATGACGCATAATGCTCTCGAGCGCGGAATGAAAAATTTGGGCGAGCTGGTCGCCCTATCGAACAACTCTTTTCACATTGAATTCTCTTTATGGTCAGCGTAGAAATTCGGATCACGTGCTCTATACTCAAGAAAAAATCTTTCTGAAATCGAACAACGACATCGTCTTGGATAAAACTCTTTTTTTCGCAAGCTTAATTCGAGCATCCAATTTGTTCTCCCTTCTTCCACGCTCCAGTTCTCGGAAAACTTAAATTACACAGAAACCGTATTTGTTTTCCTGATTCTCTCCTTCGTTCAAGTTGCTAGGGGAAAACAATGCCTTCCCTTGTTGTTCATCCATTCAGATACTCCTCTTAGTAAGCAATTTTAGCTGTTGCAACTCTCAATAAGGCTTCTCTTGTGAATTGCGTCCAATAATTCATCTAGTGTACTTAAAGGGAAGTATCCCAAGTCGAGGTGGCCATTCGAAATGAGACCTATAATGCTGGACGTATTTTTGATGCTGATCTGTATTCTGCATTCAAAATCTGCCAATCGATTCTCTGAACGAAGTTACGGAGGTGATCTCCGGGAAAATCAACAGGGGGAAGCACAAAAGACATGGGCGGCCAGCAGTCCATCAGTGGCGGCTTGGAGTAGAGGTAAGCGTGACGCTTTATTGGCATGGAACCAAGGATCGGGTTTGGTGGGAGAGCGCCGTTTTGCATTTTGCAGGATTCCAGCGGCTTTTTAGTTGTTGGAGGTGAGTCAGATCCCACTTAAACCGTCTGACATCTACTCTTACCACCAAAATGTCGAAAATTCTATTCTTATACATTTCAAATTCACTCCAAGATAACTTGACACCTGGATTTGTTTTGTTATCTTGCTCCAATAAATGTTCTGGGACAAAGAACCTGTACCTGCTCTTTGGACAATTCCACATTACCAAACATCAACGACCCTCTAGATGTGCTTGCTGTTTCTTCTTCATCATCGGGTTCCCACAGTCAATCGGCCTCCTCTTCCTCAATCACACAGTCTTGTTCGCACTCAATATCGAGGTCTTCGTAAGTAGCGTTTCGGAAGATAGAGGAGAAGCTATTTGACAAATTCTGCTCATTCGTTGTAGGGGCGCGTTCGACACCACGAGATCCGAAGTTCCTCAGGAGGTGCGAAACTACCATCTTTGGGCAGAACATACATACTCCCTTGTTTTTTAGTGTTACCTCCATCCATACATACCATACCTTGCCACGTTTGCCACGAGGCAGCCCTTCCTTTTTCGAAACTGACCACAACCCCGACCTTTTTCAAAAACTAATCGATATCATTGCGTAGTGGAAAACGGTTTTAGCAGGAGATGATTCACCTCGAGAATTCAAAAAGTCGCCAAAGGCGGCAAAACTTACATAAAAAGATTTCTACAACCTGGAGGAAAAAGTTATATGAAATGCAAAATGGCATCGTGCACCAAACTCGATTCTTGGTCCCATGCCTATGAAGCATCACGCTTACCTCTACTCCAAACCGCCACTGCTGGACTGCCGGCGACCATATTTGGTGGTGCCGAGCACCCGCCGGCCAGCGGCCGAGCCGAGTGGTCCCGAGGGATGCCGAAGGCGTCCCGAAGGGACCACTCGGCTCGGCACCACCAACTTTTGTGCTTGCTTCTGTTGAGCGTCTTCCGAAAACCACCTCCATAACTTCGTTGAGAGAATCGTTTGGGAGATTTTGAATGCAGATTCGAAATCAGCACTAAAATATACGTCCAGCAGTGTAAGTCTCATTTCAAATGGCCACTTCGACTTGGGATCCATCCCTTTTAGCCCAGTACTTCAAAAATGTAGGAGAATATGGACGGAATTCAGTAAACTATCCCGATTGATGGCTTTTCTTCTTATCCTTCCTCGAGCTATACGGAATGTTTTTCAGCTCGCACAGCTCGGCAGTAACATCACACTGCTTTCGATTACAAAATTTTTCATATCCTCGCTTACCTTTCTGATTTCTACGCACCGAACTTTCGAGATGCAGAGATAGACAGATCCTACAGACAATAGACGCGCTCATCCTAGGTCCCCAGCGAGCGTTCGCGCGTTCACTATCATTGTTTAATAGTTTGTCCTCTTACCAATTTTAATGAACTTCTCCAGCATTCTCCGCATGTGTGCAGACTCGTATTTACCTCAACAAGAAGGTTAGCTTTATCCGTTGACTTTCGCCTTACTCTCCTTACTCATTGCCGGAATCTGCGACTGCTCCTCCTTGGCATTATTGATACACACTTATGGTGGCGTTAATCACCATGACTGTAGAATCACCTCGTAGTGAAGTCAACTATGATTGTCTGATGTGAGTCTCCCTACAGTGCGAACACACGAGTTCAATTAACCGTTCTGATCAGAGATTTCAGGGTGATTGTGTTGATGCTCATTGGTAACGACGAAAACAGAAGATCCGAATAAATTTGGGATGTAGGACCTCTTTGGAACCGATTATCCGTGAACCGGCATGAGGTTGTGACGACGAAATGGGTAGGTGCTTGGATGAGAACATCGCCACTACAGAGCAAGGTGAGTTTGCTATGTTTACTAATAAGTTCGCTGCTGATCACATTTGTAAGATGCGTGTTCCATTCCCGAAAGCCCCAAACTTTATAAGGCCGTCAGAGACATCCTTTTTAGAAGTAGCAATTATTCAGGCCGCTCTCCACTCTACCATGCCTCATGTAATGTGCTCCCGAGGCAATTGATTCCTTCCAATAGGAACTTCTGAAAGCTGCTTTTATTGCTAAAATTCCCTTCAGTAATCTTCCGAATGCAATTGACCCGTATGTTATCCGTCATGGGCTAGCTATTGTCACTGCCGGCTTTTCTTCTGTCTTACGAGTCGATACTGTCGGACGGCTTTCAATCAAACTGTGACTGGAATCCACTCAAACGTTCTGATGTTTAGCGTCGATAGTCTTTCAAGCGGATTCCCTCAGATCATCAAGAACTATGTTCCCCTTTCGTGGTGCAATGGGCACGCAGTCAAGCGAACAGCCATTATGTAAAAAATAACGACTTTACGTTTAGCAGAGGCAATAATATAAATAGGCTAAGGGATATAGATGTTCATTGGCCATGTGGGTCAAACCCTGGAGCTAAAGACGAGTTCTTTTCTGCGCTACAATCGCCTCATCCCTTGTGAACATCAAATTATCTCCGTTGTTCACTGAAAATTACTGAATTCGCAGTACAGTTCGAACGTGTTCAATCTTTTGGACGCTTGCAGAAATTCTTTGTTTCCTTGCCATATATTTACTAAATTAGAGTATTTTCCATGCATTCCGAGAAACTGCCCTATATGAATCGGTGGGGTGCTGCGGAAGCAAAGGGTGCCAGGTGTGGCAGAACCCAGGGAGGAGAAAGCTGTTCATGGTCGATAACTTGCGTTAATATTATACATCTCTTGGCAAGAAGCACTTTTACAGAGGTAATGGTCTAATTTGTACACGGGAATAGCTTACGTGATGCTCTACTTAAAGTACCAGAAAGTTCCACAGTCTTTTCAAGATTATCCGGTTTTTGCTTCGATTTAGTGGCTTTTTGCATTTGATCAGTGTACATATTTTACGTTCAACATTGGTTAACGAATCCATCCGGGAGGCCCAATGTGCCAGGCGGTGAAGCGAGGCCACACTTTTTTTTCGGCTGCCTCATCTGCGCGTTCTCGTAGGTGATGTGATTTCGTAATAATTATTCAGTATTGTTCAGAACTTTCGATTATTTTCGGTTATCACTGGTTACTGGCACCGTTATTTTTTCGAGAATGCTTCAAAAAATCTCACACTGGTCTTAATCAGATACTACAGCACGCTGTTTTAGTAAGAGCACAAGTGAGATTGGATAATGGACGGAGTTTGCTTTGTAGGTCGTATCAGCAGGCCACGGGGCACGACTTTTACTACGCATCTTTTTTATGACCCTTTTTCTCCACATGTGGCTACCCCCTGAAGAATCGCGTGAATATGTTTATCTGAACAAAGAATTGCTAGCAAATATTCGCTAAAATTTCTCAGTCAACCCTTGCTTATTCGTCGGCGTTTTTAAGCTTTCCAGATCGAAGTAATCGCTGACATACTGCTTGGTCCCTTCTCGTGGCATAGACGGCTGTCAGAGCGCGGTGGCGTATTTCCACATAAACCCTCTCGAGCGCTTTTGTACGACAAGTAGATTCACCTCGGGCAACCTTCCTGTGCCCAGCGCATATCTGCCCTTGAGCTAGTTAAGCATCCCTGCCTTCTCTGATATGAAAATGGCAGTAACTTGGAACTTTCCTTCGAGGAACTTCAATCAAGTTCCAATGTATGACCCCATTCAAAAGCTCGGCCAGCTATCGAAATTTTCGTTTGTAATAATCGTCGAAAGGCATCCAATTTTTTTATTATTACTGGAACTTCAGTTTTGCAACTCCATCAAGGAATGTACTATTAAATGAAAGGTAAGAGATTCATTCCGCAGAAGGACATATGCGCATAGGGTAGGCATGAAATGATATTTCAAGAAATGACAAAAATGAAAAGAATGGAACGTTGTTCCTTTTTTGGAAAGTAAGGGATATAGCAATATTTGGATATAGCAGACTTGTTAATATTTTAGAAGCGTAGAATAATCCTTCAAAATATAGCGGCTGAAAAAAGTGTATCCGATAATAGTAAAATATTCACCTCCTTATGGTCGAAGAAAAGCAGCTAGCAAAGTGGCCCACTGTGTTTTTCTTGTTTTGAAAAAAAACTAGTGTAGTCATACAGGGAAAAGAGAAAAAGCGAGAGGCGTTTTTTCGCTTTTTCCTTTGGAACTGAACCTTTTTTCGTACAGAAGTTTATATATGTGGTTCAACTCAACCTTTTTAGCTTTAGCCTTAGGTCATGCTTTACAAAGTGGTGCATTATGAATACGAAGCTTATTTCAAAGACGTCAATCCATCACAGTTGACGATTATGCATCGTTAGCAACTGCAATACCTATTATTGGAATTGTATTCAATTGAAGGAACCAAGTGAACTGTTCCACTCTGAATCCAATCGAGAAAAAGTTTGCGAAAATTCAGCCCAAATTGCCAAATATGGCATCGATTTCTTCCCAGTCCGTTTTCTCAGCCTGCTTATTAATCATACGAACCAGACAGCGAAGACAACATATTGACTGAATCTGCGTTGTAGTGCGCCATGAATCCGACGTTTTAAAAAGGATGATTGAATGTTCAAAAGATCTTTAACGATCTGCTTTTACTAAAACAGATCACTATACAAGAACACTGGTCACTTAGTGGCTGGTTGCTCCATGCTTTCGAGTTTTTGTTTTTATATTGATGATAATTGAACAAATTTATAAAATTTTTTAGGTTGATGTTCTTGTTAAATCATCTTCATCTTCTCCTACAATAACTCGACGTTCCATTCAGTTGTAGTTTTTTGCAGGATGCCCTGTTTTTGTGGAGTGAAAACAACGCCTGAAGCTGCGCTGGTGCAGCCCAATTTTGTCGGGGTTATCAAGTTCACTAGCCTGGGAGTTGTACATCCATTGAACAGACGAAGCTCTGTGTCTCTGGTTAGTCGTTTTAGAGTGGGGTACCTTCATAAATCCACACATTTTCCAGGTGTCGACGTTTCCAACGAACGGAGTTTTTGGAATAGTTGCTGACACGAAGTTTGGCGATTCTTGTGGTCAAATAGTTTGACTTCACGCTCCCCAGAAGTGTTTTATCAATTGATGACTTGTTTTGAGTGCTTCCTTCGCTTGTTGTCGGGCTTGTAGTATCACCTGTGCCATCTGTTAGATAACAATCATATCACATTACTAAATGCATACCTTCAGACGTTGCCCCCAAACGAGTACCGTCCGAGACCAAAGTTTTGCTCAAAAATCGCCGACCTTTTGAGATATATGTACTAGTTTCTACATTGTATACCTCTATATACCGAAAAATGATCCTTATCTCCGATGAAGTCTGGAAACGGCGCTTGTGAACTGTTTGCAGATATTACCCAAAGCATCTCCAACAGAAATTACGGTGGATGTTTCTTAGAACCCAAGAACAGCTCAGCTATGCATGGTGCCACAATCGTAAACTCTTTCCCCGTGAGTTTAAAAACAGCAATTCTTTCACCTCCGAGTGGGTCTCTTGAAAATTTTGCAGGTACTTGTCAAAACACAACGACAACTCGAGAAAGAAACGGAGAAGGGTGGGTCAAGAATTCAGAAAACAGAAAAACAGCCACAGATACTTGTCTTTTTTCGATCATGGACTTGAAGCTGCTCATTGATCTAGTCATGACCTAGAGGGTGTGGTAGACAACTTGGTTGTCTTTTCCCCCTGGGCTAGATGGCCAATAAGAAAAACAACAAACATGGTAGACAATTGGTGCTGAACTTGAAAGCTCAGATGGCCAGCGGTTATAGCGTTGAAATCCATTTTCTGTAAAATATTGTAAAATAATAATAAAATAAAAAGTATCAGTGATTGAGAATATTTTGTAAAAAATGGATTTCAACGCTAAAGTTTTCAGTTCTTGACTAGAAATATCTTGGTTTCATCCCTTTCAAAAGCGCTCTGAGAAGATATGAATTAGCAGCCGATTCAAAGGCACAGTTCACGAAAAAATGGTTCCGGAGATTTCCCCATAAGATGAATTCGAAGGCTGTTCTAACACCATATGTGCCAATGTCAGGTCGAGAAACGTCCTGGATAGGGCGCAGTAATGGACCAGACATTGTGTTTGTGAATGCCACACCCACAGGGG